AAAAATATTGATAAAAAAACAGTCAACAGCCAACAAAATAATAGGACGTAACGGAATATCTAAGGTACTTCTTCGGTTTATTTATACATCAACAGTATCAGGATAAAGTACAGCATCGAAGACTCGCTGGCGCCGCGCCGCGTCACGTTGTATAGTGTCGCCTCGACTCGCGTGCCCTACTTACCAGTTTGGCACAAGTGGAAAAGGTTCGTGCAAGCTTTGTCTAGGGGTGTGAAAGAGTTTGCTCTCTTTAATATACTGCATTTCTGCTTCCGGGGTATTCCGTTGTCACAGAAATCTCGACGTCGATATATTTTCCAAGAAAGAGGAGGCAGTTGTGCTTTTTTAAACTGGTAAAAATACACACTACTTATTTGTGTTCGACACAATTGTGTGAGAATACTAAACATTTCTACATAACATTTCGAGATAATTGAACGCAAACTCTTCATTCAAACTAAATACGAAACAGAATGATGCAGAAGCTTCAGATACATCGTGCCTCAATTATTTTTCTTTTGCGTGGAGCTACTAACGTTAACTTTTGAAAAATAGACGGAGAAACCGGGGTAAAAAAATGTAGCCTGCTACGATTTTTACACCTGTAAACTAGACTAGACTCTCGTGCCCCTCCCCCCGGCGGAGGAGTACAACGGCTGAAGAAGAGGAGGTCGGTTCGAGAGAGACAAAAGAAGGACGCCGGCCTGGAGGTGCTGGAGGTGCCTTTATGCCAAGGGCGTGCCTGTGGGAGTGCCTTGGAGGGTGGGCCGGGCCCAAGGCTCGGGGCCCGGCAGGGCAAGAGGGCCGTGAGGGACAGGGACATCAATAGCAATCCTCCCAGTTGATATCGTAGTTGTAGGTATAGGTGTACTTGTTGTAGTTGTTGTAGTTGTTGAAGTAGTTATCCTACACAGCACATATCAAAGACTACACAAGGGGAAGATAGACTAAAAACTACCACCCGAAACTACACCGCATTTGCTCGCACGCTCACACTCTAGTCACACACGCATACACACACACAGCCACGCGCATTCACTCTCACAGACTCTTGTGTTACAGAGAGGGGACATTTACCTGGAGGCCAGACCGCAGTGACGTGCTGGTGGGGGTGGTTCGAAGACCGGGGGTGGATGTTTTCTGGAAGAGAACACACATGCGGGAGTATTAGCGACGGGAGGGTAAAGGGCAGGAGATCCAGCAGGGGCACAAACTACTGCACACTACCACTCACTCATGGAGATCAAACAAACGTTAAATAAAAAGGATTATTACTCCCATGCTATGGTGGTGTAAACCAGATTAATAAATGAATAAAACTAAATCTAAAAAAACAATCACAGAAATAATAGCTTATATGTTAAAAGTAAAATAAACGCAGCCAGAGCAACCACACAGCAATTAGTGTTAGGAGAGTAAGAGTTTGGGTGAATAATGCAGTCGGGTAAGAACAATGTGTTATACATCTAGAAAATAATGAACTAGAATGAAAGTAAAAGAGTTGCATGCATGACACGTTGAAACGAGATCATTTTACTGGTTATAAATGTATTTTAACACAAAGATGATAAGATGATCCAAAATATAAAAGTAAATTTATTAAAAAAAAAATACTACTCCATCTCCCTTACTTTAAAGTAAAAAGAGCCTTGAGTTGATTATTACATAGCACATGTCGCTTTTGGTGATCAAGCCTTATCTTACGCTTTTTACAATATGACACGCAATCTTCTTTGCATACCGCAGTTTGACTTTTGGGAAGAAAGTGTTAGAAGATCGATTTCACGCCGAAAGTCGTACAAGAAGCGGCAGAACCAAACAGGGCGGCGGCGTGTAGAAGGGACACGTAGCCAAAGTCAGCAGTTTGACTGGCAGCTTTAGCGCGCTATCATGCTCGAGAGGACTTACAAGGAGGTGGATGGTGCAGTTGCACGAACTCGAGTTGTAGGCTGAGCTACCGAGTTTGTATTTGGGCAGAGGATTTAGGTGGATGGTGCAGTTGCACGGGGTCGGGCTCGGAGTTGTTCCGTACAAGTCCTACAGGACGGGCGTTTCAAAAGATTAGAAAAGGCATTGATCACCAAAAAACCAGACATGGTAATAAATGCACTCCTCAAAACACACCGCTGTTACTGAACACCATACCAAACACCACTGTAAATCTTACAGCGCAACACATCACATTACTCTGTCAACTCAAATGTGTACATAGTACACATTAAAGAAAGTGTACATGGCATGTATGCTTTAATTAATGTGTACATGGCTATGTACACATTTATAAATGTGTACATGCCCATGTACACATTTACAAATGTGTACATGCCTATGTACACGTGTACATGCCTATGTACACATTGATAAATGTGTACATGGGCATGTACACATTTATAAATGTGTACATAGCCATGTACACATTAATTAAAGCATACATGCCATGTACACTTTCTTTAATGTGTACTATGTACACATTTGAGTTGACAGAGTATTTGTAAAATTAAGTGTTTTAAAGCCCACGGTTATTGACTGAATTATAATTGGTATTTTGTTACTCATAACACTAAATTTGTTACACACTAAATTTCTAGTAAAAGTTAAAGAATTAATAAAAAAAAATTCAACTGCATGCGGAGGAAGGAGACTCGCGACATCACCGTGCGCACCCGCAGTGTAACTCTAACGCCTGTAAAAACCAGTATAGGCAAGCCCGCCGAGCAGGCCGGTCTGACGGCATTGCCTACCTCGCCCCTGGGTTTGTCTCCTGCCTGCGAGGCCCGGATAGGCAAGCCCGCCGAGCAGGCCGGTCTGACGGCGTTGCCTACCTCGCCCCTGGGTTTGTCTCCCGCCTGCGAGGCCCGGATAGGCAGGCCCGCAGAGCAGGTCGGTCTGACGACGTTGCCTACCTCACCCCCGAGTGTGTCCGTCGGCCTGCGAGGCCCGGATGGGCTTGGATCGCTCCCAAAGATTTCTGATAGCTTTTACAAATAAGGTACGAGGGAGGTACACTGTTTACTGAGAAGGGGGTAGAGCATCTGAAACCCAAGGGAGTGAACGTCACAGCCCTCTAGGTGTGTGAATTTCCATTCGTACACTTAGGACTCAATGTGCGACATTATTACACTTTCTTGGGTTTTAAGTTGTGCTATTTGTCATTCTTGCTGACCTAAGAGTGACTGTTTCGGTTTCGAGATTCAAAATTGAAAAATTTCAGAAAAAAAATAATTTATAAAAAGAATCGATTAAAAAATTTGACTGATTTACACCTACCTAAAATTTTTGAACGCATTTCTTCTAAGAATATTTTGGTGGAAAATTTAAATCCCTATACCTGGCCTAACCTACCGACCTGCGAGTGTCTATGTCGTGTTTATGCGTGTGTGTGTGTGTGTGTGTCGGTGCGTTTGCTGGTGGCACCCGGGCCGGCGCAGTCGCCAGCCTACCTTCCTGTCGGTGAGCGCGGTGACGCCCAGCTTCTCCCTGGTGGAGCCCGCCGTACTCACGCCGCCAATGGAGGAGCGGGCGGACACGATGGACGAGAGGCTCTCCCGGCTGCCGTGAAGGCCCTTGGAGTGGTGCACCTTGCAGTTGGCCGTGGACATGCGCTTCGGGGCGGGGCTGCGGCTGACCTTGTGCACGGGCGCGAACAGCCCGAACTTGGGCTCGCAGTCGAAGTACCTGAAATACAATACACGCGTTTAGAAACTGTCCAAATGTTTTCCGAGGAAGAAAATGGAAATTAGTTTACAAAACAATTGGGGAAAAATTGAAATATTTACAGAGAAATTTGAAAAAAAAAATTAAACTTCTCAAGAGAAAATCAAGAGATGTTACGAAAAATATTCATGAAAACTTCCCCAACACCTTTGATGTGTGCTCTTTTAGTCGTAACGTCTGTCTCTTACCTTGTGCCAGCCACGGAGCCGTCGTTCTTGCCCATGGGGTCGTCCAGCTCGACCCCGCACCACTCGCCGGCGGCGAAGGCGGTGGGGCCCTTGTAGCGCAGCACGCCCGCCTTGGAGCCCGTCTGGCTGCTCATCACGATGACCCGCTCGCCCAGCTTGAGCTCGGCGCCGGCCGCCAGGCTGCGCACGCTGCCGCTGGGCGACAGCGTCGGTGTCGGGGAGGCGGCCTTGGGCGCGGGGGTGGGCGCGGCGCCCAGCCGGGGCGCGGCCTTGCGCGTGACGGGCGTCGTCGGCGACGTCAGCAGCGACGACGTCGAGAGCGACGAGAGCGCCGACTCGGGCAGCGGGTAGCGGGTGAGGCGCGTGAGTCGCGAGAAGACGCCCTTCTTGGCCTCGCACTGGAAGTAGCGGACGCCGCCCACCGAGCCGTCGTTCTTGCCGATGGGCTCGTCCAGGACCACGCCGGCCCACTCGCCGGGCGCGAACTGCGTGTCGCCGATGTACGCGAGGCGGCCGGGCTTGGTGCCGCCCACGTACACGCGCTCGCCGATGATAAAGCTGTCCGTGTCCTCCGTCAGCACCGCGCTGGCGTCTGCAACGAGAGAGGCGGCCGTCAGCAAGACAAGACAAGTGTGCCAAAAGTAAGAGTTTCGCATTTAAATTGAAATAACCTTGCAACCCCTCTCATTGAAATCACACTAAAGATATTTACAGTAACAAACACTTCCATGTTCCTTGATAATTGAGTGTTTCACAACACTTGACAATATACCGTTTGGCACGCAATAATGATAAAGAAAAGTCTACGGCACTACGACAGAAATCAAACAAAATAAAAACAAACTCAAGAACCTCTGCCAACCCACATAAGAATAAAATAAACACAACACCATGCGTCGTGCACAAAGAGCGCAAAACATGCAACAGAGTAAATTGCATACAATGCGTCTCAGGAGAGAAAACACGTATCCGAGCGGTGCTTCCCACTAGCAACCCAACCGCACACACAAACACGCACTTCACCAAACAGAAAAGAAACACGAAGATTTTGTGTGCAGAAAATAATTGCTCAGCACCACGTGGATATTTTAAGGATGCTATAACAAGACTACCAGATTACCCGCCATTCTGATTTCATGACACTATTCTGTTCAAAAATACAATTTAATAAATTCACTTAAATATTAACAATTTAGAAATGGATCCACGTGGTTGGCGAGCGATGTCATACAAACCGTCTGCAGTCCCGCCCCTCCAGGCGTTCACCGCGCGCGAGTCGCGTCCCGCCGCCGCCGATCGAGTTGCGTCACATCACGTCACAAAACGAAAAGTTTTTAAAAAAGAAAAATTATCACACTTTGTGCAGCATTATTTTTTTTTAAAGTTTGTTTAGATGACGATGGAAGAGCGCACCTCGATCGCTGGCGGCGGTATGCACTCTGTGCTTTGCAAGTGCGTGCAACATTCGCTCTCAAAAATGTGTGTGACAAACGCCACACACGAGGAAGGGTCTATCACGATTGTCACACACGCACACACACAAACACAAACACAAACACACACACACACACACACACACACACACAGGCGTTGCATAGGTTGGGGAATGTCACACACACAAACACACACGCGCGAGCGCACTGTGACGGGTGCCGCCACGTGACGGCGCCCTGCTGGACCTACCGGCGGGCGCGCTGCCCATGGCGAAGCGCATCTGCTCAGCTGCAGCGCTGCACTAGATCTACCGTACCTGAGGCTCGCCGCACCCCGGCCTCGCTGAGGCGACGGAAGTCCCATGCGCTCTCGGTGCCACCTGGTGTGCAGACAGTGCAAGCAATCAAGGCCTCCGCTACGCCGCGCCACTCCAAGCAGCAAAGGCATGCACTGCGCAGGCCGAGCGAGAGAGAGACCCTCTGCAGAGACTGAGAGAGAGGGAGAGAGAAAGAGAGTCGTATGGGGATCCCCAGTTCGGGCCGCCTCTCTCGCACTCCCACAAACTCCCATCCGTGAGCAGTGATCTCCCGCGGCGGCGCTCAGCGCTGGCGCCGCAGAGCCAAATTGGAGCGGTCGCATCTTCCATTTGGGAGCAGAGCCCAAGCACGTGCGTATCGCCCACAGCCAGCCAAACGTGTAAAGCGACACTTTACACTAGAAACCCAAGTGTATGAATGTCGCGCACTTGGAGGCAAATGAGTTCCCATTTGCGCACATCGATAGACCAGTACGGGTGTGAATTTTGCAGTGAAATTGAGGACACGAGTGTACGAATGGAAATTCACACACCTACAAGTGTGCGACAGTCACACACTTGGATTTCCAGAGCAATCTAAGAAGCAACACACACGGTTACAGAAGAAGAGGGCCAGATATTGTAATGGCACATTGACAATATTTTAAAACACGTGTGGACTCTTCCTGAATGGAAGATGGACACGACTTCACAATCTGACCTGAACGCACATCAAAGATTCAAACCACACGAAGTACAGAAGCAGATAGATACACCGACTAAAGTGGAAAACATTACACATATATAATAAGCAAAAAGAGTTTTCAATTTACAGTATATTTTCAATACTAAGTGCGAAATCATTTAATTTTTAAAAAAGCAGCACAGATCATACACTGTTAAAGTCTTACGAAGAAAAATGCCAAATCCTTTGTAATACGAAGGATTTGGACGCTTCGTAAGGAGAAAATCCTTCGTAGGTACGAAGCATTTGGCATTTTGCTTCGTAAGACTTTAACTGTGTAAACTTCTCAAAAAAAGATTGAGGGAAAATTGTTTTTTTAAACATAAGGAACCTCAAAAATCCTTAGTATTTACAAGAATTTCGCATATAATATATTCAACAGGGTGAGCATACGTACTTGAAGATCTTCTGTCCGAACTGCGGCGCCGCTCGGAGTACGCGGAGTAGGCATCAGCCACGGGGTCGTCTAAGTCTACAAGCACCACAACACAGACACATGCTCAGTGCAGGCACAACCACGAGGGCGGGTGCAACCAAAACACAAGACAACACAAATACACCAAAAAAAGGCAAAGATATAATAAGGACTACATGCCGAAGAGAAGGAATGGTTGGTCTACAACTACGTTCCGACAATGTTTTTACCCATCAAAACGCGCTACCACAAACACTGGCACAAGTCGTCATTGACTGACAGTTTTGCTCAGCTTTGTGTGTGCAGACGGTGCAAGAAAACCTTCTGGTAAATGCCTGAGGACAATTGTTGTACTAGCACCTTACTTCTGTGTGCATAACTCTATTCAGGTACAAGATTGTGCCGAAGCCGTAACTAAATGTGTTTGCTCAGCTACAATATCATTGCATCTGAACTTTGTCAGTTATGCACACAGAAGTCTGGTATGCCAATTACAAGAATTGCCCTTCGGCATTTTAAGAGTAGCGCGTAATTCGATAGATGGGGTCGCCTGACGGGTAGGCAGCCCATTCGGCTCGGCGACCACGCGCCGCGCGTCCTGTCCGCCCACGACCAGAGCCGGCCGCCTTTGGAGCCGCGTCATCGACTTTACAGTCCCATGAAATATCCATCACGAATCCGTAACCATCAGAGCCGCGTCAACCACCAAGAGAGCGCACCAACAACAACCACTTCCACAAGAACATCCCCCCCATCATCATCAACACCCCCATGCAGTGCATAATGTGACCCACACAAGCACGCGCGCGGCTTATGGCCGCTCGGCTGAAAGGGCAGAGCAGAGTGCTGCTGCTGACTGCGTGCGCTTAACTTACCGGAGAGCTTGGTGCTGCGTGCGAAGTCATCACTCAGCTTGCGAATGGCGTTGGCTGTGGGCCCGTCTGCGAGAGGGGAAGCAACAAAACAAACGGCGTCAAAGCGTGCACAACACACAAAGCAAACAGAAGCGTCATCTAGTTTGTGAAGCTGAGCCAAAAAGGTGTATTGTAAACGGGATATAAGCACATCCTACTCTACAAATGGGCCGGAGCGTTTACACAAAATGTCACACAGAACAAAAGGGTGTGAGACGACCCCGTCTGTTTTGTGAAGTATTACTTATCGAATTTGACACAAAACTTGACTGTGCGTGACGTGGTAGTCACACATTCATTTAAGCGCGATTTTTTAAAGTGTAAAAACGTACAAATTTTGATAAATTATATCGAAACACTATTCGGGCGTCGTGTGTAGCGCTCCATTCATCGTCCAGAGACGTAATGTGACTCACGACGTCGCTGTGCTCACCTTGAGGACCTTGGGCCTACATGAATGAGAGACGAGGGGCGGGGGTCGTATCACTAGTAAACAAGCAACAGAGGAGAGCTATAGGATTTCGCACAGCAAAACCACTCGCAAAATCTAATGGCGAGCGAAAATAGTTACTACCATTACAACGATTTGTATACCCTTTCTCTAATATGGATCGTTTTATTACTCAGTACTCGGTGACTTTCCGGAGAGAGGAGTACAAATATTATTAAAGGGTTCCCAAAGGACTAGGACTATCATTGAGGCCCGTAGGACCCCATACTATTTTTACCCC